TTAAAATTCCAGTGGACCAGCAAACAATATAGAAAAACCACAATAGTATTGATGTGACATCATGCAGTTATTTTAACATAAATATACTATCCAATGCTATTATTAAGTTAACTGACTTTGAATATGAACAGACTACACCTCCTTTCTAATAGTATGTTATAAAAAACATAATGTAACACAGCAAGTGAGAAATAATATTTAAATTCCTAAATGTCAGTATTAATGCAAAACAGATTCTTTTCTTGATATAACCCTACCATTTAAGTTTTATGCTGCAAAAACTATGACTCAGCAACTCTCGACGAAGGTTAAAATATCCACAGATGATATTATTCTGCTGCAAAGCCAGTTCTGGAAAAAATTAAAGTTAATTTCAAAATGATTGACACTGATAAAATCTGCAGAGTAGCAATAGTGTCTGTCTCTCTTCTGCAGACTTTACAGTGTAGATAGACACTTCAGTTATATCCTTGGCTGTATTTGGAAGCATACCATTTTAATCTAAACTCTTTCCCTGTCTATCCTATCTTCCACTACCAAGAAGATACACATTATTTCTTTATTTTTTTATTGTTCACAAGGTTTTTATGAGTAGATGGAATAATGAGATAGAATAAGGAACAAAGTACTGCCTAATCTTCAATTGGAGTCCAAAGATTCTATTTTTAATCATTTGTAAGTGTTCTAAAATTGTCGGTCCAATAATATCAAGCAAATGATTTTTGACCTTTTGACCAAATTTTCTGCATTGTTTATTATGTTCAATAAATAAGAAAGGCTTTGGGATCTGATCTTAAATACATATGCATCTGAATACCTTTAATCATTTAGACCCTGAGTCATGGTAATACCTAAGCGTGTGCTTAAATCTATTCCTGTTGAGGAAAGCTCTTAAACGTGTGCTTAAATCCTGTTAAGGTCAATGAGACTGAAGCATGTATTAAAGTGCTTACCTAAATAGGGATGTTTTCCTGAATCGTGGCTTTGGCCTGGAGTAGTCTACACTGTCCAATTGATTACAAGTGGGTAAAGTTACTCATATCTATGACTTTGCAAGATGGGATCACTGGATTATAAATGGTCTTTTTTTAATTGCCTTTGAGCTCTCATTTTAAACATTTGGTAATCCTGATAATAGAACACAATACAAGACCAAAATAGATAAATCTGAAGCCAAAACATAGGTGATTTGGAGCTCTGCTGTATTTGTTATTTAAAACTTGGTTGACTGATTTATTTTAATCTGAAGTTCTCAAGTAGTAAGAGCATGAAAAGTAAATATTTTGTTCAATTTTTCAAAAACTGAAATGTGAAAAACTAAAATGTGTACTTGTTGCTCAATGTACCATGTACTGGTATTTCTGTTACTTTCCACATTTATAAAATTGACTTACATATAGCTTTATAATTTGGTATTCATACACTGATTATAGTGCAATTCTATAGTATTCATGATTAAGGGCTTGATCCCAAAGTCCACTTTTACAATGGGAGTATTTTTGCTGACTTCAGTGGACTTTGGTTAAGGCCCAAAAAGAAGAGGAAGACAAATTGTAGCATAAATATGATTGAATATAGGCTAATTAAGATATTCTGTGTTTTTAAAGGCAGGCATTGATGTATAATATTGATTGCACTGCAATTTGTCAGTGAGTGAGGTGCTTTGAGTTGTTATGATATCAGTAAAGTGGGATCATGTAATTTGGTCTCAATTTTCAGGGTGGATTCTATCTGGCCTCTACATTTTCCTGTCAAAACATGTGTGCCCAAAAAGCGTTGCATGCATCTTTTGGAGGACCTCAGGCACCAAAAGGAGCTGCCAAATCCTGTGCAAGTGCCACTTGAACATGGAAATTTTCTCTACAAATCTGAATTACACTCAAATGTAAAGGCTACTGAATTTAGATCTGTGCCATTTTTTGTCTAATTTAGATGAATACTCTTGGTGCAAATATACTATGCATTAATTGCTAGTATACTCATCTCCTCATCTTCAGCTGCAGTGACCTCTTATTTTTCAAGTAACTATGAGCTCAGTTTATTGGCATATAATAATTTTCATTCAAAATCTTATATGCTTTTTATAAATTCTGACATAAAATTCAAACAAAGACAAAATCATTTTTTCTAAAATCTGGTATATAGGATAAAATTTGCAGGCTAGCCTTTCTCAATAATTCTTAATGCAAAACCATGCATAATGTTGTTTTCCCTCTGGTATTTTTATTGAGAGTTTCATTCTACCGAAAACAGAATTTTGTATAGTCTTCCAAACATAGCATTGGAAATAGGGATGTCACAAATCTTCAGTTCATATTTAATTTATGTACAAATACAGCTATGCTATCCCAGGTCCCAACTCGCCACTGGCCTCCTGTCCCAGTGTAGGGACCCTCAACTTTCTTTTTTGCACTTCTTACCACAGAAAATTCTTTACCTATTCTTTCCTGTTTGTCCCCCTTCCCACCTGATCTCAGACCCTTTCCTCGACCCTGCCATTTGCTCCCAGCCACCACTGTCAATATGCATATGCAGCAAATAGAAAAGCCAGTTATTGTGTATTTAGCCAGATCATCCAGAAAACATGAATCCATCACACCCCTCCCGCTCCCCCACTCTGTTGAGTGAAACTAACTTGTACCAATGTATTGTCCACATTAGGGGTTTATACTTCATGCCTCTCCATATCCAGTAGCCCCAACAACCCTCTCTCTATTTTTAATGGGCCAGGTATTTTTGCTGTTGCTGAACAAAAAATGAATAAACAGTAGTACACTTATTAAAAAAAATTCAAATGAGTCAGGCTGGTGGTCCAGTAACAATGGAGCATGGGGGATCTGAACGAAGGGCAGCAGGGAGTGATAGGATACATCCCTTTGGGAAAGGAGCACCTTGTATCACTCTCTAGCAGTCCTTTCTGGCTGACTGGAGGAGCAGTATTGTCGTCCAAGGCAAGCAGCATCCAGCCGCACTCACCCAAGGGAAGGTCATCACAACATAGGGACTTTGGGAGGTGGGATTGAATTCATTTAGGGTGGTATTTTCAAAAGTGCACAGTGTTAGCCTAAACTCTACTCTCATTAAAGCCAATGCTAAAACTCCCATTGACTTCAATGGAAGCAGATTTAGGTAAACAGATGGATGCTTTTGAAAAATCACACACCTTCAAAGCATACATAGATGTTTAAGTAGTAGAGAACTTGGTGCTATCCCTCTGAAACAGTCTGTCTCTGAAGTGATCTAAGTCTTCTGAGCTAATTCCCACTAAAGTGCAACCCCACACAACTCAGGAGACCCACACAATTATGGAAAATTGAGGAGCCAGGATTATACATACACAGAAGGGAGGGAGAGCTTTCAAAGCAGGAGGGAGAGAAACAGAGAAATAAAGAAAGAAGATTTAAAAAAGAAAATGGGGTGGGGGTGGTGTGGGAAAGAAGGAACCAAAGAGTTTATGCATTTTTTTAGACGTTAGCTTCAGTAGTCACAGGCATTTTTTGTATCTGTTTCTTTTCATTTAAATTATTCATATTTGAAAGAAAATGTCAGTATAATAATAACTTGAGGATGCTGCCATAATCCACAGCTTTGCCAATTTAAATGGAACAGAAGCAAACTTTTCTGTTCTATGAAGTATATTTTTATTATTTAACATTTATATTGCATTAGCACCAAAGGCCCCTGTTAAGATAATGGCGCTGGGCATTGTACAGCCACATTATAAGAAGTTGTTCTTACCCTAAATTCTTAACAATTTAGCAAAAAATCCCATTTTTATGTCAGTAGAAAATGATTTCCTTTCCTCTGCATTGTTCAGTCTAGACCACAGAAATCTGTACCTCTACAGTCAGTGTTATATAACATTTTAGAACTAGCTATAACCCTTCTCTCTTCTGCTTTCAGTACCTCCTTCCTCACCCACTTCCTACCTCAAATCCTCCATTCTCTCTATATTTTATGAGGCATATATCCATTCCACCCTTCTTCACTAGTTCTTATCCAAGTTTTACAGCTTATACTGTGAAACAGTCCTTTGCCTTTCATGGTACATTTTTTCCATTTTACCTATATTAGGTAACACCAGAGTTCTGAGTTCTGGTCAGTCTGAAGTTAATCTAAAAATATTTTATAGGAATTTTACGTTATCTTATACACTGATGTCAATATGTCCTTTTTTATGGTAATAGTGTCATTTGATGTCAGTACTATACATCTCACTGATGTTTCCCTGCCTCTGCCTTATGGGATGGGGGGGGGACCAAAAAGCATCACTGAAGTTTGTTTGTTGTGTCTTGCTCATAATTCACAGTTCTCAACTTGTGAAATAACCTTTAGTTCTTCCTCTAGTGCATCTACTTCCATTTATAATAGATGTTGGGGTGGAGGGAGAGAACAAAGGCATACTTTAGAGAAAGAAATGAACTCTATTTGAAATCATCGCTATTGCTATTGAATTAATATGGCACTCAGATACTGGAGCAGTATAAAACCCTAAGATAAAGAAATAAGTGGCAGTTCATCACACACAAGTATAATGCACAATAAGAGAACAAAATCAGAATAATCATGGGGAGAGTCAGGGCTGGCTCTAGGCACCAGCGGCACTTTCAAGGGGTGGCACTCTGGCCCTTTTTTTTTTCCCTTCAGCGGTTTGGCGGCGGCACTCCAGCGTTTTTTTTTTTTTGCTTGGGGCGGAGCTTGGAGCTGGCCCTGGGGAGAGTTGTCATAAGAATTATGGACATGCTGCAATAATGATTAAGATCAATATTTTCCTAATTGGATTTTGCACGACTTGCCATTTAAAATTTTACCAAATATAAATGATGCTACCAAGGGATTCACTATGGGCTCCTTAAGCTACAGTAGGATCAGAAGAGAGCCACAGTACTCCACATCAGCAGTGGTATTGATAAGTGTTTGCCCTCTGTGGGTACGTTGTAAGTGCATCATTTTTAGTGATGTTCATTTCTAATGAAAATGACATGTTTTCTGTTTTTCAGAAAGGATACACATTCATGGCTGAAGCACATACTGGTGACTTACCTGTAGCAGCTGGGAAATGGAGACTACGTCTCATTGGTTCCCATAGTCCACTCCCCATTCTCTCTCGTGATGCTGTAAACAATTTCTATTCCACTAAGGAAATTAAAGACTATTATATACCCAATGACAAGCACATTGTATTCAGGTAAATTTTGGAAGGAGAACGATTTAAATGTCACTTTTTATATGAACACTACTCATGGGAAAATTATATTATTTTTGGAAGAAAAATGCTTTCAAGCAAACAGGAAAGATATACTTGAATTTTACAGGCAATTATGTTTATTCAGTATGAAAGTCAGACTTGAACATTTCCCCAGAGTAGGGTTTAATTTTCTAAAATATTGCCACTAGTAAGTGCAGATGTGGGGTGTGGTGCCCTGGTAAAGAAACATTACATTTAACTCGTTACTTTAAAATAATAATAAAGTATTTTGCACTTCAGTACCATGGATCTCAGAAAATGATACAAACTTTAATAATTTAAACTTCATAATCCCCCTGTGAGATAGGTTAGCACTGTAATGTACATTTTGCAAATGGGGAAACTAAGGCACAGAACTGGTTGGCTCCAGTCAGTGAGAAAGATGGGAATAGAATCAGGAGTCCTTACACTAGGTCCCTTGCTCTAACTACCAGACACCTACCCATCCTATAATATTGGCAGGCAAGTTTCATTTGATTAGAGCATGCATATTCTTTTAGGACCGCATATTTTATATCAACATAAGCAATTATTTGGGTTTGTAATTTTTTTTCAATGGACTAAAATGATTTGGGCCAGATCCTGAGCTGTCATAAATAGCCATGGTTCATTGAAGTCAAAGGAGCTATGCCAATTTACCCCAGCTGATTAACTGGCTCTTGGTTCAGATCTGTGAGCAGATCCCTGTTCAAGCTTATAAATACAGTAGTATTTAACAAATAGTGTAAACAAAATCTACTAGTATTCTATAACCTACTGTTACTGTATACATGTTTCAGTTATTAAATGTAGAGATGAAAGCTCTATTAAAACAGGTTTGGACTATTCACATACCTAAAGATAAACACACACATAGACTTTGCAGGATCAGAGTCTTACTTTTATACATGTGTCTTGATAGAGCAGTATTATAATTTTTCACACCAAGGTCTGAAATCCGTAGGATTACTCATGGAGTAAAGGATTACTGACCATGAGTAAAGGTGACAGAATCAGTCCCAACAGAAATAAAAATAATTAAATTCCAGAAAAACTTGAAATGGAAATATAACAAATGCTCTAAATTCTTGTTAACGGTGCCGTGCCTTGAGCAGTATTCCCTTTTTCTCTTGTCTATGCTCCTTCAAAAAAATTTAAATTTTTAAAATATGTTCACATGCTTATATGTCTGAATGTTCCTTACCTATTGCTGGTGCATATCGATAGTTGCTGACTTTTTTTAAAAAAAGTACATTATCCTTTCTTTTTACTTTGTTTCCTTCGGTAAACCTAAGAATTTTGAACCTGGGAAAGAGGGGGGAAGGGTTTCATACTGAAAGTTGTGATACAACTTTAGCTAATTCATGGTAGTTTGAACAACAACAAAAGTCTTGTTTTAGTTGCATCTGGTGACTTTCAAGTCAAGGCTTAGTGTCTTGGGCTCCAGTTCAGGACACAATTTAAGCATGTGCTAAACCCATTCCAATTATTTAAGTATGTGGTTTAGTGCTTTTTTGAATGAAGATGCTTTTCTTAATTGGGTTTTAGACGTTCTAACAATGAACAATCTGGTTTAGTTGCTTATGTTGTTGGAATTTTTCTCCCTTTTAGGTATGCAGTAAAAGTCACAGCATCACATATTGCTACAGTGCAGGTACAAACCTCTAAATCAGATGTGTTCATTAAATTGCAAGTCCTTGACAGTGAGGAGGAAATTGTGAGCACTGTTGGAAAGGGCCATGCTGTCATCCCTGCATTTAATTTCTTGTGTACTGAAAGGCCTTTAAGTTCTCAGTGTAAGTATTCTATTTTGCATTTCAAAAGGAATATGCATTCTAATAATAGCTTTAAATAAGGAATAACCTTTAAAACACACACAGGAACTATGATTTTTTCCCAATTTTTCCATGAATTATGTAATTTCCCTCATTTCATTGTGAATTTCAGCTCTCTTCTACACTCCGCTCTGACATGGGGCCAGGAATGCAGGATCATGCTTGATGGCCCTAGGGAGAGTTGGAGGTGAGGTTGGTTGCATAGTTGCCTGGCATTACTATTTGCCTGTGACTTTTGCCTTAGTTTTCTGACTCATCTATGAGTAATTTGGATTTATGCCATAATTAATGCAGATCCTTAGTTCTAAGATTTTTATGTGGACATGTTTCCCTTGTCAGAGGGAACTGAGATATATTCTCTTCTCAAATCTTGTTCTTACCATTTGATCTTCAGAGATTAAAACATAGGCATTCTTTTGTTTGTTAGTCTAGAAAATACCTCTTGACAAGCATTATTTTTTATCCCTGGCTCTTCTTCCCCGGCTCCCCTACAACCTTCTTCATGGAAATAGAGGATTCTGAAGGAACTACTAATAGTACCAGATTTATAGAGGGCATAAATAGCCATAACAATATTGGAAGCTCATTATAATGCCAACAGAAATATTGAGAAAAAGTTATCTCAGAGGGAACATTCCAATTTATACAGAATTTCCTTTGGGACTAAATTTAATTGTCAGTTACTATATATACATACATACATTCTCTCTCTCTCTCTCTCATATCTTTTATCTGAATAATTTTGTCTCCGACTGAGAAACGTATAATGTTTGCTTAGCTTGTTTTCTTTCCTATTAATTTTATTACCACTAGCCATATCTACAGTTTAGTAGACCTTTTCATTTTTTCCATAACAGCTTTTAAATATTGGAAGTCAAAAACTAAACCTAGATTTGTGTCAGTTCTTGCAAATGTAGCATCTAGCTTTCTTCCTGAACTAGTCGATTGACATTTGATTCTTAAGTGCTGTTTAATTTTATTGTTGTGGAGCAATTATTATGATTAAATTCATATCAGGTATGTATTTGTTAAGCATATTTCAGACACTTTCACTATTGTGCTCAGGTAATTTCAATTCAGATGAAATATACCATACTAATATATCTAACAATCTATAAAGGGTTTATATCAATGACTTTCCAATCTCAGCATCACTTGTTTAGTCTTCATTTGTTTTCCTGTTATCCGTGTGTTTTTCTAACCATGTTGTTTGCAATTTGCTTACAAGATCTAGATACAGGGCTGAAGTTTACAGAAGCATATACAGATATTTCTGTGTAATCCCATCTCTTCATGCATTCGTCTCCAGTAATTTTGCACAGATGGCTCTGTAGTGAAATGCATGATTTTTTGTAACTTTAATATCTTTCATAAATTACCAATACTATATAAGAAAAATATCTAATTTAATCAGGACAAATGTAGACATTTCTGATTACTGTATGCATTACACTTCAGTATCCTCAAAAAGAAGATTACTAAGATTCAGCAAAAATACATTGTAATCACAAATTTTATTTCCCCCTTAAACTAATGTCATTGATTTTAATGAGTGCTGTGGAGAATGTAGAGTTAATCTGTAACAATTTTATGATTACATGACCTCGCTATTAAAATAGTCAGTGTAGAGCTATGTGGGTTGTTTGACTGTGGGAATGTATTGATTGATTCAGTTCATTAGTGGGTAGTTGGAAAAACAAGTAGGAAGGCCACACAATAGCCTGGATAAAGAACAGCTCCGCAAACACTTGGAAGACAATAACAAGCTATCAGCTGAGATGTGACTTCTAGGCTCCAACAAAGTTATATGGTTACTTGGCCAAGGCCATGAGCTGAGAGATCAAAAGGCTCCGTTAAAATGTCTCTCCTGAAGAAATGGAGGGAGAGTGGGTTGTCAGCAGTTGCTTGAGGGGAGATGCTGACAGAGAACAAAGGGAAAGTCTGCAGCAGGACTTTCTGTCCCTCCTGGCCCAAAGGTGGGGCTACCTGGTCTCACAAATGAGGGCAATTGCACCTGTGTTCTCCCTCCATGGTCCACCAATGGCACCCATTCTTTGGCTTCTGGCTCTTCAACCATCATCTCTCTTGGACAGAGACATGCATCCCCTAAGCCCCACAAGGGTATTTCCAGGCTGCACAGTTCCCTGCCTACCCTGTGAATTCCCCAGCATATCAGACTTTGCCTTCCTTCCTCAGAGGCTAGAAACAGCATAATTGTCAACAGTTAAGTTATCACTAAAAGCATTACAGAGAAACATATAAAAAACAATAAAAGAACCTACGTGCATGCTAATCAGCTTACCAGCAATCACCCAACTCCAAGAAGGGCTATGGCAAGTGAACAGTCTTTCAGACACTACAAGGGGTTTCTCTGTGGTCACAAGTTCATGACAGTTGTTAGCTCAGAACAAGCACACTCATGAAAAGTGTAATCCCCCCCACCTTTTTTTTTTTGTACAACCGAGTCTTTGATCTGGGAACAGGCAATTCTTCTTTGAATGATTGTACATGTCCATTTCCCTGTAGGTGGTTGTGCACACCAGTGCACAAGTGGGGGAGACAAATATCAGAGGGATAGCCGTGTTAGGCTGGATCTGTAAAAAGCAACAAAGAGTCCTATGGCACCTTATAGACTAACAGATGTATTGGAGCATAAGCTTTCATGGGTGAATACCCACTTCGTCAGACGCATGTCTGTGTGGGAGAGTTACCCATCGGCCCAAGCACCCTCTGCTATTTTGCACATATCACTCACGTATAAAGGGCCAAGCTGCCCCTTGCCCACTCAGTTCCTTCCCACTGACCAGGAAGGTTGTTGGAGCTCCCTGCCCTGGCTTCTTTTCTTGATATCTGTAAAAGTACCTGTGTGTAATTAGACAGATTAAAAAAAAAATCTTAATTGTTTTTGTAGTTTTGTGTGGTACCAGAATCAGTTTGGGTCCTGTCACCTGCACTGGAGATATGCTGCACTCTCTGGGTTTTAAGCCCTGCCACTGTTGTAGCAAGGCTATACATAATAGTGACCCTCACCCCAGTTGCCGCAAGTGCTTCGGGGAGGCTCATGTAAGCGATAAGTGTGGCATTGGTAAGGGCTTTAAGCCCAGTTCAGACAGATTAAAATATCTGCTGATGGAACTGGCACTGCAGCCTACATCTGAGCCCTCTACCTCGGAATGAAATGAGGAATATGATACTGGGTACCAAGCACCTCAGTGTCAGTCAGTATCACACCTCCAGCGCTACCGGTTGTGACGTTCCCCTCTTGTGTTATCTGGACCGGTGATCTACTAGGCCTTTCCAATCCTTGACTCTGGGAGCCAGCCTTACCCTGCTCTGCTGTGAGAACCCCCACTCCTGGGCTGTTCACGCACAGCCTCTGGCATGTAAGCTGCTCCCAGCTACTTGCAAGCTAATGACACTAGCCAACATCTCTGGTCCCAGACACAACCTTAGGAACCTCCGTCTTGCAGTGTCCAGTTATGCCCACTGGACGCTGCAAGCTTATCTAAGTTCATCAATTTAATAAAGAAATTGATATGTACTAGGCTTGTTATCCCAAGGGGAGCCTCTGACACACTTCAACCCAAACGCACTGCTTCAGGTAGAATAAACAGATTTATTAACTATGAAGATAGATTTTAAGTGATTATAAGTCAAAGCATAACAAGTCAGAGTGGTTACCAAAATAAAATAAAATATAATATAAGCACGCAGTCTAAACTCTCAACCTTATTAGACTGGGCAGTAACTAGATTAAGCAGTTTTTCTAACCCCACTGGGTATTGCAGTCCTTAATGTACAGTTTTGTTCCTTAAACTTGGGCCAATCTCCTGTGTTGGAGTCTTGTCATCTTTTCAGTATCTTGGTTGCTTATAGCATAGGTGAGGGCAAGAGAAGGGCCCCGTATGTGTCCGCTCTGCCTGTTTTATACTCTCAGTCTATGTGCTTGTAGAACACAAGTCCAGGCATGTCTGGGGGGCATTGCTGAGTCTCTCCAAGCAAGGTTGAGCAATTCTCCTGGTGTGGCCTCCTGCAGGTGAGTCATCTCGTTGTAGCTCCCTTGCTGGACAATGGCTGTTGAGGGGTTGACACCCCACCCGAGTGCTGGTTACTTTCGTTGCCATTGCCTCGGGAGAGCTAATATCTGGCTGATTCCCCAACTTACAGCATGTTTTAGTGACCACCATATAATTCTCATAACTTCATATGCATTAATGATATACATATATGGATAGAAAAATCACTTTCAGCAAATCATGACCTTTCCCCTGATACCTTACAAGGCATGCTTTATATGTAAAATCATGATTATATGAAAATGAGGAATATGGGGGTTACGGTACGCTCCCCCAAGCCCTCTAGCTCAGTCCAAGTATTGGGTACCAAGCACCTCGGTGTCAGTCAGTATCACACCTCCAGCGCTACTGGTCTTCTTTTTTGCGTATGCGCAACATGCCTTAGGTGGCACATGACCTGGATTCCTCACCGAATTTGGTTTGCTGGTTGGATCATTAGCTTCCCCGGCCCGAGCAAGGTACTGATGGGGAGTGTGACATAAACATACCAGATGTAGATCAGCATCATTGGTACCCGAGAAGAGGTATTGGAAATTGGATTCGGTAATGGGATCTTCAAAAGACTCAGAGGATGAATGCTTCTAAAAACCCCCTTGGGCCTGCCAACTGATGTGCCAAGACTACTTCTGCTCCTGCTTTCCCTGCCAGCTTGGGACTCCAGCACCCTGTCTTGTTGAGCCAGACACACCAGTCTGCTCCAACACAGATCCAGGGTCTGAACCACGTGTCCCAAAGCTGCAGACTTAACTGAAAGCAACTTAAGAAGTGTTCCTGTCTTTAACACTCAGATGCCCAACTCCCTATGGGGTCCAAACCCCAAATAAATCCGTTTTACCTTGTATAAAGCTTATGCAGGATAAACTCATAAATTGTTCGCCTTCTATG